TGTTACTAGGTTTTATTATTCAGCCCTTAAGTCTTGTATTTCCCTATGGTGTGTTGTTTTTATCTACTCTATTATTTTCGGTATTGTTTCCCTGATATTCTGTATGACTCTAAGCTGCATTCTGAACGTTTCTTTCTGTGGCAGGTCAATGTTTGCTTCTATGCACATTGTTAGGTTCATGACTTCTTTTGGCATTGTCTTCTGTTTTTCCTGCCTTTTCGTAGAGTCTGTTTAGCCTGGTTGCTGTTTATGTGTTGTTTTAGAGGAGCCCAGTGCCATCGTCCAGTCACAGAGCACTGGACTGTCTCTTGGGGGACTTATATGAGTGCTTCTACGAACTACCAGCAGGTAGCTGCACTGGAGGATCAGGTTACTGCTGTATATTCCTGTGGTTTCACTCTTACCCTAGCCAACCAGTATTCTTTTATTTGGAATTCAAGTTGGATAGTCTTCTCATGGGACACTGGTTGGGTGGTTGTGGGCCCATGACAGTGGTGTTTCACTGGCTGAGATCTCAGTGAGCTGCATTGTGTGTCTTATGGTGCATGGAGAACCTTGGGGAGGGGGGTTCCCTCTGCAACTGGAGTGCCATCGAGGGTGTGGGGGTGTACCCTCCTTGGTGTAGAGCACCATAGATGGCAGGCAGAATTACCTTAGTTGGAGTTATTGCCGTGGAGGTTGGGCGGATGCTCCTGCAGTGTTTCCCCAGTCACTTGTAGGGCCTTGGGCTGTATGCTAGTTTCCCCAGCCTTTGAAGGGGAGTTCCCCTAGCCACTTGGAGTATGCTGAAGGACGGGTGTGATTTATCCAGCTTCATGTAAAGCCAACAAGTGCAGGTGTGAGATCCACCCATTGGGCCATCAGAGTTTCTCTAAGCATAGGGGAGTGGCCTGGAGGCTGGTAGTGGCTTGTGAAAGAGGGGGAAGAGAAGAAAAAGTTAGAAAGGAGAAGAGAAGGACAAGAGCAAAAATAGAAATCAAACTAACAAAATGCAAAGACAAAACAAAAGTAGAAACAGTTAAAAAAAAAAGAAAACAACAAAAAAGGAAAACTGAATATGCTGAAACTGAGGCAGGAAAGAGAAGAGACAGAAGATGAAAAAAGAAGAAAAAGTGAAAGAAGTAGAAAAGAAAAAAATAAAGACAGCAGAGCCCCATGCTGTGCCGTGTAGCACTGCCTCGTGCAGAAAAGAGGGGAAAAAGAGAAGACAAAGAAAGAGAAAGAAGGGGGAAAACACAACTGTCCTAAAACAACAAGCGATCCAAATTGGTGGGGAGGTGGGTGTGGGAGACCTGGTAGGGCATGATCAAGGGGAATGTAACAAAGAGGAAGTG